GCTTAGCCTTTCATCTAACTGACATAAATGACACCTTTTTGTCATATGCACAGTTAGGCCTCAAAGGCACTTAGCCTTTCATCTAACTGGCATAAATGACATCTTTTTGTTATATGCACAGTTAGGCCTCAAAGGCACTTAGCCTTTCATCTAACTGACATAAATGACACCTTTCTGTCATATGCACAGTTAGGCCTCAAAGGCACTTAGCCTTTCGTCTAACTGGCATAAATGACATCTAACTGGCATAAATGACATCTTTCTGTCATATGCACAGTTAAGACTCAAAGGCACTTAGCTTTTCATCTAACTGGCATAAATGACACATTTATGTCATATGCATAGTTAGGCCTATTAATCTTTTATATTAGAGCAGTCTCTACTATAATAATCATTCATAATATCAATTAATCCCTTTCAATCATTATACATTCTATGATTTATACCCATAATGTCATTGCAATAATACCACAATTTTACTATAATATACATGGATTACTCATTCACTACAAATACGACAATTCACCTTCCTATTATGAATTTCTGATAATTTCACATATATTTTCCCATACAAACATTCATACACTTGGTATGAATTTCTTAATTCGCACACATTGCCCATACAGAAATTCATACACTTAGTATGAATTTCTTTATTTTTGCACACAAACTGCCCATACAGAAATTCATACACTTAGTATGAATATCTTACAATTTTTGCACACTTAGTGTCATTTGGTAATCACCCTATTTACATTAATAAATCATACAATTATGTCTACCGTAACATATATGTTCATAATTAAATGTACTCACCTGACTTTCCTCTCTAAGTATCCAAAACGTAAGGCTGATTACTCAGGTAATTTGCCTTTGCCCTTAGTTTTGCTTATCTCGGGAGCTTGGTTCCGATCTACTCAAGCATCCATTAAAACATGCACCATACCTAAAGTTAATATTTTCTTTTGAGCATTAAACTTAAAACAATACTCAAAAGGACATATCATTAACTTTCTATAACCATATCAACTTATTTTTAACATTTCTGGCTCTATAGTATCGATACTACTACCCTAGTACCGATATTTCTATACTATGGTATCGATACCCCCTTCTAGTATCGATACTGATTTTATGTTCGATGTTGCCTAGTATCGACACTCTTACCATAGTATCGATACTACCATACTATGGTATCGATACTCCTTATGGTATCAATACCGATTTTTGATTCGATGTTGCTTGGTATCGATACCCTTATCATGGTATCGACACTACCCCTTCGGTATCGATACTGATTGAATCAGTATCGATACTACTCAATTAATTCATCTCATTTTAACCTATATTATCAGTATTGGTCTATCAGTATCAATACCCTTGCCCATATTTTCTAGTTTTAACTCGATTTTTAGTCAAATTGGGGTCAAATTTCTTTATATTTACACCCAACAATGCCATTTAACTCTTCTCTACTTATCCATACTAACTTTCTTGAATTTAGCCTCTTAAAACCTCTAAAATCTTTCAAGAACATTAAATTCTAAGAATCAAACCACTTTTTCTAATATGTTCTTAATCCTATCTAATGCTTCTATTATCTTATTTACCTCTTTGACAAGTCAAAACTACCAGTAATCATCAATAAAAACCAATATACTAACATATTATTTCAAAACCCATTTTCTAAAATCTACAATATTTCCTCCATTTCATAGTTTTAACCTCATTTAATCTTTCCTTAAGCTTCTATATCACTTAAGGTTACAAGAACTACCCATAATCGAAAGGAAAAAATCAAATAATTTAAGTTTACCTTTGGAGCTATAGAGGAGAACAAACCCACGGGGAAGAAGAAAAATGGTTTCTTTGACTTATTTTCCCCTTTTTATTTAAATCCCTAGAATTTAAATGAGTTTCAAATTTATTTTACTTAAAAGGACCAAAATTCCCTTTCATTATTCTATCTCTTACACATTGGTCTTGCTTAAGTCTTTTCTTATACTTTACCTTTTATTCAATTTAGTCCTCCAAAATTTTAATTCCTTTCAAATTAGTCACTGACCTACTATTTGGGGTATTAGAGGTTTATTATTTCCCATCCCTCGATGTCGAAATGAGTCCATAGTATCATACAATGAATTGTAAAACACCTCAAATAAGATCATGTTAGACATAAAACTACAAATTCATACCAGTTCATTTGGCATAAGACTAGTGATGTGTGAATTTTGTAATCTCAATAGAGGAGTTTGATCTGCCATTCTTCTAACAACTTTCAAAAAATATTAGTAATAATTAACATGTACTTATAATAATCAAAATAAAATGACATACAACAATTAATCTAAACATTAATTTAAACAAGGACAATTTTATGTAACAATGATCTAAATTAACTAACGGATTTAAACAACAACAACAATAACAACCCAAAAATAATCTATAATAATATACGAATAAAATATTAAAAAATACCTTCAAATCGAATATAATTTTTTTTCTTTCCTTTCTTCCTTTATTCCTTCCTTCCTTCCTTCTCCTCTTCATTATTTTCTCTTCACTTCCTGATTCTCATCCACCCTATATATAATACTTCCACCACAAATAAAACCTAATAATTATGAAAAAAAACAAATGCATTTAATAAAAACAAAGGCTTCTAGTTCATGTATGACATGCATGCTTTTATGACACCAAAAAATAATTGTTGCCACCCACCTACCCTGCTGCATGAAAACCTGACCACTGAGGCGTGCCTGCATCACTGACAAGCACAGTGAAGACACCATGTCTTCATGGCGTCCGGGAGAATTTTTTTAAATTAATGAACAGTGAATATGTCATGTCTTCATGACGTCCAACAATTTTTTATTCGAATTAATTTTCATGAACAATGAAGACGTTGTTCTTTCCTTACGTCTTTAGAGTCACTGTAGTTTTTGCTATAGATTGAAAAATAAAAAGGTCGATGCAATATTAAAAAAACAAATACAATATTGCTCTAAATTACTCGATTTTCTATTCTATATTTTGATTATTTATCATGTTTTTCTCTTTTATATATTTAGGTTTCTTTTTTCCACTTGTTCTTTTCTTTGTAAAGGAGTTCGTGATCGCTGTTAGTATAGATAAGGCTGAGCAAAGCTCGACCCGACTCAAAAAAATTATTTTTCCTAATTTTGAGTTATTTGAGTCAACTCGAATTACCAATTCAGATTTCGAGTCGAGTTTAAATTTTAAAATTTTGAGTTACTCGAAAAACCAAAAAAATTGACTAAGTATTTTGACAATTTTATGATTTAGTCCCTGATTTCATTATTCCTTTAATTCATTCTTCATTTTAAGTCCATATTTTACCAAATTTGAACCACATTCTCATGAATCATCATAGAATAAATATGTACTTTCAATTCCTCTTTTTTATAACTTAATTTTATCTTTTAATTTAGTCCCTCAATTTTTCATAATTTCTTTATTTCTTCAATTCATCATTTATTTTAATTTCATTTTTTGCCAAATTTTAATAACATGCTCATATACTACAATAGAATATTAACATAACTTCAATTCTTACTTTTTTAGTAAAAGTGTACACTCTTTTTTATTTAGTCTCTAAACTTTGCATTTTACTCAATTTGATCTTTTGACAACAATTGTTTGCAAATTCTTTCTTTCCATCAATTCATTGACTTTTTTATACTCTTATCGATATTTTACCCTCAAAATACTTTCTTTAAAATATAATATTATGAATATATTTTATAATTTTAGATTGTATTTGATATATTAAATAATAATATAATGTGAAAAGAATAATATATATATATATATGATTAGAGAAAGTAAAAAAAATGGAACAAATTCTTTCTATAATACTATAAATAATTAAAATAAAATTAGTATGTATATAACTTTAATAACTCGACTCGAAAAAATTTTAAGTTAATTTCGAATTATAAAATACGACTCGTCAATTTGAATAACTAAAACTTTTTTACTCAACTTGATCGAATGATTACTCCTTAAATATAATATGATTATGAATGAATTTTATTTTAACCCGGAAAAAAATTGGTTGTATATATTTTTTCATCTTTAATTAATGATACGACGGTAAAGACTGTATTTATTATATCAAAAGCTTTTTTTAATGAGAGAGGAGACCAAAGCCAGTACATCATCATTTTATTATATCAAAAGCTTTTTATTTATTATTTATTTTATATCAAGATAATGTGAACTAATATTTTAATAATTATTGGATGTTAGAAATAATTATAACAATTATTTCGATTCAATTTTCGAATATTAATCGGAAGTTTTATTAAATAAAAGCAATTATTATAGTTATTCGAAAATTAATTTTTCATGTTTTCTATTCCCAGATATTTTAACAATCAATTTTAATAAATGAATTATACCTCCTTACAATTAAAAAAAATAACAAATGTTTTTTATTTTTAATTTCAAGTTAAATCATCTGTAGCACCATAATTCAAAATTTTCAATAACCATTAGTACATAATAAAATATGTAAGATAATTGCAGAAAAAAGGGAGTATATACAGAATTCCCGCCGATAAAACAAAACAAACGAGAAAGGATTTTCAGCAATTAATACATTGTGACTTACCATTTCCTTCCAAATAACATCTACACCGATTGCCAAAAAATAAAAATCATACTATTTGATAAATTACGTATTTAATAGTTAAACTATTAATTTTAATTTATTTTAATATTTAAAATTTTAATTTTTTAAAACTATAACTGATATTTAAATTTTATATTATTAACAATTTATTACGTTTAATACTTAAAATATCAATTTTGATATATTTTAGTATCATAAATTTTAATTTTTTAAAAACTTAACATTAAATTTTAAACTAAGATGTTAAAATAAAATAAAAATAAAATTTTAAAAATAATTTTAACAAAATTTAAAAGTTTAAATATTAAAATAGAGGAATAATGTATAATTTACTCTCTTTTTTCCTACCAACACTGATCGGTCTCCCATCTTCGGGTCAGGTGTACTCGACTCCTAAAACGCCTCGCACGTGCCCCCAACGACATATCGTACACGGCTCTCGCCGTCGGATCCGACAATGTCGCGTAGGCGTTCCGTATCTCGATGAAATCACTGCCGTCCAATGAGGATCCCATCGCGTCGGGATGGTACACCTTGGCCAGGCTCCGGTACGCCATCTTGATCTCGTTAAACAAGGCCGTTCTCTCCACCTTGAGTATCTCGTACAAACTCCCCGCCAACGCCGCCGTAGAGGCGTTGTGGTTTTCCGTAACGGTGGCCGACTTAAATGACGCCGCCGCCTGCGCCGAATTATTGACGGTCACGGCCTTCTTCGGCGAGAAACTGTCGACGGGTTTAGCGGCGGCGAAAGGAGAAGGGAGAGTAGCATACATAGGGGGGAAAAGGAAACGCGAAACAGTAAACAACGGGATTGAACAACCGAGATTGTTCGTTTGATGAATGTATTTATATATTCTTGAGGGGTCAAGAGCTGGATGATATTAATGGCTATTTTAAAAGAGAGAGAAAATTAGAAATTGAAAAAATATATTTACTAAAAAGGAAATGAAAAGAAAAAACCTTGTGTGGTGTGGTTTGTCTGCTGGTTTTGCCTTTTTGATTCCGACATCATCAATTTGCTTGTTTTTACTTTAAAAAGGCTTCTAGAAGATATTGTTCCAGAATCCAAAGCCACTTTTTCCGACTAGGCTAGGCTCGGCTTCAATCAGCCGTTCTTGCCTTTTGTTTTAGCTGATGACAGAATAGCCATTCAATGAAACGGGGTTTAATTCTATTCATGGTCCTTATACTTCCATCTAATTTTGAAATTTTAGTCCTCATACTCCAATCCAATTTGTGAACATTTGATTTTTTTTTTCCAATCTAAAAAATCTTGGTCCCTGTCGGTCGAATCATTAATGAAACTCCATAAGGTCTATATTTGAGGACATTGAACACCGCAGGGAAAATTTATCAATTCCAATTCTATTTCGCCGCATCATATCTACTTCTTTGTCAAAAACAAATTCGACATCGTTGATAATAGGACCGATATTTTCAAATTGAAAAAAAATATGAAAATTTTATGTTTAAAAACTAAAATACGATAATATATTTTTAAAATTGATTAAAATATAAGGATTATTTAATATTTTAAACATTTATTTGGTGATGTGGTAATATTTTATAAGAAGAAAAGGAAATAATATAGGTAAAACAATTTGTATTTAAAATGTATTTTGGCTATGAATATTACCTTGTAAAAATGTTAAAATCTTTTACCTTTTATTGTACTAATTTCCAAGTAAAATGCTCCGAAAATGAGTTTAAGACGAGATTTATTACCATTTTTATTCATTGTGAATATATATAATTGTTTTTTTTATTTAGAATGGTATCAACATTTTTCTTAAATAAAACAAAAGTTCAACCATTTACTAATTGAAATATTTTCTATATAATTATTGATATTTAATTTTTAATCGAAATGTTCATATTAAATAACATAAATATTTATCAAATATAGTTCTTTTAGTATAGTTTTCTCTATTTCCAAATTAAAATTTAAAAATCGTATCCTATTTAAATAACTTAGTGCCTTGTAATGTACATATTCTTTTAATAATCTGAGATGATTATTAGAGAGTATATGTTTAGAATTTTTTTAATCTATTGACACAATATAATCTATAAACATAACTGCTCAAAATCAAAAAAAAAAAAACAACTATCTCTTTTATTGTTAATACCATTTAGCGAATTCCTTATTTAACATAGTGCCTTGTAATGCAGACATCATTCTCATTCTTTTCCTCCCCTAACTATGTGCAGGATAGTTGTTGAATGCCATTAATCCAAGTGATCGTGAAGCCCGTTTAAGAACCGAGTTAAGTAATATATAATTTAACTAATAAAAAGTTGTTAAAAATAAGTTTAATTAGTATTTTTATATTTTTAATTAAATTTAAGTTAAATATTAATATTTGACTGAGTTAAGTAAAAAAAATTAATTTAATCGTGTTTACAAATATCATTTTATTATTTAAATTTATATAAATTTGATTAAATCATGTTTATTAAATTTGATTAGATTCAAATAAAAAATACTTTTAAATTTTTGTTGAAATTTAAATGTAATTATTTATAATGTTATGGTACTATTTAGTTTCAATTTATCAGTTATTTCTAATCATATTTATTTTTGTATGTGTAAGTTAGATTTATAAAGTCGTTTAATAAACCAAATCAAATAGCATCTAAATTTATCTAATATATTAATTTTGATTTTTAATAAAAAAATTTTGATGATAAAATTTTGATGAAAATATAAATGAATCAATAAAATAAATGAAAAAAAAAAGATTATAGAGAGTTACAGTCAAATGATCAAATTAAATAACATACAAAATCAATGTCAACACTTGATTTTTTCGTCCCGATAATATTATCGCTATTATTATTATTACTATTATTATTATTGTTATTATTATTATTATTATGAACTAAAATTATTATTATTTTGTTTCTTCTTTCTTTCAGTACAGCAGCCCAAAATCGGGCCCAATTTCATAACCCAAGGCTCGAAGCCCAACAGGATCAAATCCAGACCCAGTTTACAATCCAAGACCCAGACTTAGGGCCCGAACCCGTTAGGGTTTCTTCATGAACTCTTCAACCGCTGCACTCTCCACCAGTAGGCCACCACCACCATTTCGTCCACTCCCAGGCCGCCGTTGCTACGGCCAATCAGAACCCTGCAATGTCAGAAAGCATCAGCAAGCAATACCGAGGCATATACGAACATTTGTTTTTCAGTGTACTCAAGGGTTGAGAGAAAAATCAGAAAGAAAAACAGATTAAAATATATGTATTTTACGGGTTATAAATATCCGAATGAAGTATGTAAAAAAGGGGTTCGATCCCTGCGGTTTTCAAGAGCAATAAAATCAAAAAAGGATTCAAGGTATTCTGAATTTTCCTCTTAGTTTCGAAGCAAAAAAATAAAGAAATAGTTTATTTACAAAAAAATAATCAAACAACCCAAACACATTGCATGTTACCAAATAGGAGTGAGGAAGAGTAGACTAGTTTACCTTAGTCCGGGAGGAGCCTTCACGGTGGCCGGTGCTTGCGAGGAGGCAAAAAGTTGAACCCTTTTGGGTTTCTTTTGGGTCGGTTAGGAATGTTTTAGGTAGTTCAAACCTTAGATCTAACCCTAGGGGAGTGAGATGAGCGTTTTAGGTTCGGGTTTTGTCGATTTTGGGGTCATCGAAAAGTGGGTAGTCGAAGGTTGAGATGGCTTTTCGGGGCACTTAGGCAGTGTTTTAGGGTGTTTTCAACTTGGATCTAGGTGTAGAAGGGTAGATCTAAGCCTAGAGAGTGATTTGGGTAAATTTGGGGACTCCGGCCACCAGATGCAGCGATCGGAACGGTGGTCAGACGGCGGTCAACGGTGACTCGTGGGCCGGCCAAGCCAAGTTGGGAGAGTTCCCTCTCTCCCTCTCTCCTTTTTTTTAGTTTGGTTGAAAAATGAACAAAAAAAACTAAATGAATTGTATATATAGAGGTAATTTAGGGTTAAATTACATCATAAACCCCTAGTTTACGTGCGTTTTACAAAATGGTCACTGAGGGATCGTTTTTGTTATTCTTCTATTTTATATTCATGCTTTATAATATTTGGTAAAATAACAGTTTAATCCTCCCCAGTTTACGCGTGTTTTACATGTTAGTCCCTTAAGGGGTTGCTTCTGTAATTTCCTCTTTTTTAGGCATGATTATTATTTTTTAGGCCTATTTTATTTACAGACCTCTGTATTTTGATATATTTATATTTTGAGCACGAATGTATGTTTTCAGTTCTTTTAATTCGGCCATATAGTTTTAATTAATTTAAATTTAGCCCTATGTTTTATTTATTTTTCATTATTTGCAATTTTAGCTTTTAATATTGAAATTGTTTATTTTTAGTCACTTGTTTATTTGGTTTTATTTTAACCGTGGCATGAAATTTGATTATTTGTGATTTAGTCCTATTTTTAAGTTTATTTATAAATTTTTGCATGATGCTTGCATTTTAGTTCATTTTAGTCCTAATTAATTTCGCATGATATCCTGATGAGCATTACTTGACTTGAATCGAAATAAATTGACTAAGGGTAATATTCAAGCATTTTAATATTGTCTTAAAGTGACTGTCTTAACGTATAAGAAATTTACTTTCGATAATTTTAAAATGAAAGTTTATCCCACTAAGTGACACCAATTAAAGGGAATTCATTTTAAAAATTTGGGAATCGAGGAAAATACCATATTATTTCAATTAAATTCATTGAGAAAAGATGGTTAGATCTAATCTAAAGTCTCGTCTCAAGATATTTAATTAATCAAATATCCTTATTCTCGTTAAATATTGTCAAAATAAATAATAGAATTGATTGCTTGATCTCTTTTTTAATTTGCTTGACTTTTGCATGTGTTTTCAACAGTTTTTTTAAAATAATAATGTTCGATCAGAAATAATTAAATATTATTATTTTCTCTCTAAAAAATTATTTTGAGTATTATTATATTTTGAAATTTAGAATGGAATTTTAATATTTTTTATTTCAATTGTAGTAAGAATCGATTGTTTCAAGGTATGATAGATCGGTTCTTCTCGATAAGAAATAATTAAAATAAATCAGACTCGAGCTTGTACATTTTACTGTAAAGACAATTAATTAATCGACTAGGTACCAATTTAGGGCGTTGTGGGGGTGCTAATCCTTCCCCACACGTAACCGACTCCCGAACTCAAATTTTGGTAACGCATACCCCAAGTTTGTCTTTTTAATTAAAATTAATATTTTATTAAAATGACAAATATATTTTTTTGGGTGCCCAATCACACCCTAATCAAAGATTGGTGGCGACTCCCCGAACCATATTTTATCACTAACCGATCGATCCAAATATCATTTTCGAAGCGGGACCACCCCTTTTCTCCCCTCGAAGAATGACCGTTTCGACAGCTTGGCGACTCCGCTGGGGACTTTTAGAGAGTCAGGTCATTAGTCGATTAATAAATTATCTTTGCAAATAAAATTACAAGTTCGTTCTAATTTGATTTTCGATCCCTTGTATAGTTTTAAATAATTTTTGTTTGCATTTTGAGTCGTAATTTGCTTAACCACTAAATAGTTGTACTGATATGTTTGCTAATGTTTTCAATGTAAATAATTGTTCAGGTTCTTGAGTTTTTTGTTCAGTGTTATTTGTTTTGTTTTGCTTTTCCTCACACACTGCACAAATACATTTGCATAACATAAGCTAAAACCCCGCTCTGTCCTATTTAAGTAGGAGTAAGTAGCTACTCCCTCGTGTGGTTTTCACCTCCGTACAGGATAGTGAAACGCTCCTTGGGCTCAC